ATTTCACTTGACTTTCTTCTTCCTCTCCTGCCCTGGATTTCTGGTTTTGGTTTTCTAGGCTCTCTGCATCAAGTACTATATCAAACACTTTGCACTTGTTGTTTCTAATCTTCCCAGCAATCTTGCAAGGCAGGTGTTGCCATCTCCATTTTATAAAAGAGGAAGCTGAGGGTTCCAGAGGTTCATTAGTTTCTCTGGAGTCACTCAGTGAATCAGTGGTGAACTTCACCTCTCCATGGAACCACTCCTAGAATTACTAACCCCTGCCTCACTCCTGAGGTTCCTGGACTTTCTTCCTCTGACCTTCCCATGACCCTGACCCTATCTTGATTGATTACCACCATCTTTGCCTGAATCCTCTTTGAGACAGAGGGAATGATGAAGGGAGGACAAACCTGAGAGGTCTTGATAGGGTCTTTACACAAGAGACTGTAGCCAGGAACTGAAGGAGATAGGAGAGCTGAAAGTATCTCCACACTGCAATCTGAGGAAGCAGCAGAGTGTCACCAAAAGAAATGGGTAGTGGGGAAGTCTCGCTCCTCTTGTTAAATCTGGCTTGAATTCCAGTGACTCTATTCACTGGTTAATCATGAGCAAGTCTCTTGGCTTCCCTGCCTCAGTTTCCTCATCTTTTTCCTGAGCATAATCTTACCTGACTTTCATGTTTGTCATTAGTTTTCTGATCAAGTGATACAATACATGCAACGTGTTTTATAAGGGGCAAAATGGTATAGACTTTAGCTATATTATTGCTAGAGTCAGATTGTAAATGGAGGCACCAACTTCTCAGGTAGAGTAGGTCTATGCCAGGGGCCAGCAAACTATGGCTCGTGGGCCAAATTTGGCCTGCCGCCTCTTCTTCTATAACCCATGAAGAGAACAGAACTGAGGTTACCAAAAGTGGGAGAAGAAGGGAGGGAGGTTAGCAAGAAATTGGTAAAGGGCCACCAAAGAATGATGACATTGTGTAATGTGGAATATACTAGTTATCCTGATTTAAGCATCACACATTGCACACAGGTATTGATATTCAGTGCTGTACCCCCAGATAGGTACAATTATGTTTCAATTATATATATATATACACACACACACAAACACATATAGGCCATGAACAGAGAATGTTTTTTACATTTTAATATGATTGAAAAGAAATCAAAAGAAAAATATTTATGACATATGAAAATTATATTAAATTCAAATTTCACTGTTTGTAAATAAAGTTTCTTGGAACATGGCTGAATCCATTCATTTATGTGCTGTTTTGGGCTGCTTTTCTATTATTACAGCAGAATTGAGTAGTTGTGACAGAGACCATATGCCCTGCAAAGCCTAAGATATTTACTAGCTGGATCTTTATGAGAAAAGTTTACCACTCTGTTTCCTTCCATTCTTCCTGTTGAAGCTCCCAGAAAGGAAATAAAATCTTTAAATTTTTTTTTTACTGATTTATTTAATTTGATAATAAGGGTAAAATGAGGATGCATTTATCTTTTGTCTTCTTTTTGATGCCTTTTGATGAAATTTTATTCAGTGTTGAATCATTGTTAAGAGTAAAAAGCCTACCACCGTGGCTTAACCTGGCTGTTCTAACACATGTTTTTATTGATTGATGTTTCCTCCTCCTCTTGGCTTATGTATTTTCAAATGGTTGTAATTATGGTCTACAAATTTCATAGATGATATAGTCCTTTCCAGCTGGCTTTCATAAATATTACTTGATTATTGCTTTTATTTTTCATTGTGCTTATGTTGTCATAGAATGGTACAGTTTACAAGCTATATATATTTCAGAAAAATTTCCTGTTTTTGTCTTTGTCAAATTCTTTCTTCTTTAAATATGATTGCAAATGCTTCTCTTTGGACCTAGCACTGGGCAGCCTTGGCTTGCCCATTACCCATTCCTTTCTTAATCTCTGCTCTCTTGAGCTTAAAAACTGAGAAAGATTAGGAATAAAGCTAAAGAAAAAGTGTCTGAGCAAAACGAACGTGATATCTTAGAGGCGATTTCCTCTCTCCTTCCCCAGAACTCCCCCCTAAAGGATTCAATAATAACAGGAAAAAACGTTTAGCAAACAAAAGTATTCCCTGCTCATCTAATATTGATATGAAGGGTGTTCATGTTCTGTTGCATTTTTAAATAAGTAGGAATAAAAACAAGACCATTACTGTCATTATGTTGAGACTGTAGTTTCTTTTACTGTATTTCATACCAAAAACAAAACACAAAAAACTTCAATGTGTCAAATTAACTTAGTAACATGATGTATAAGTAAAAACTGGCTATTTATATTTTATTCTGTTATTTTTTTCTAGTGAGAAGCTGGATGGAAAAACTAAAAGACAAGGTAAGAAAAGTATTTTCTTCCTTTGGATTTATCTTCAAGGTCATGTAGCTTTGTCAAGCAAAAGATCTCAAGAGCTTTAGTTTATTATTCTGATTCTGGTAATTTATCCAAAGACACAGGGCCGCTTCCAGGTGTCCAGCAGGAAAGAAGTTCTTCCCTCTAAATTCCTTTGTGTAGAACACAGGAGACACCTTATTCTTAGGAGCATCATTCCTTCCTATAAAGAATTTACCTTGGTTGGTTTGTTCAACTGAATGATATCTTTGACATATCAAGGTGGAGTTTTTTCTAGGGAATTTCAGGAATGTAATCCTATTTTATTTGGCATTTCTTATCCCAATGTGAGGCTCTCTAGGTATGTAGTTTATCACAGTGCTGCATCTCACTAAGTGTTAATGAGCTGACCTATCTGGAATGGCCAACTATGGAAAAATATTTTCCTTTCTTGAATTAATTCTGGCATCTACATAGTGATTGACAATATTAACTTCCTTGCAGGTTCATATTATTATTTTCTTTTGATTTGCAACCCTCTCCAAACTTTCACTTTTCGTTACTTTGTAATTTTAAACTGAAATTACTCATAAAAATATTGATGGAGTCCTGAATTCCCTGCTGCAGCCTGTGTCAGATCCCATTATTATAGCCCAGCTCAGAAGTAACTGGGGTTTCAGTTTAATGGATATCTTTTCAATGGTCAGATGTTGACTTACCTCTAATCCTCTAGTCTCAATACACTTCTGTTGATGGTATTCCATATATTTTTTATTATTTGGAGTCAATTTTTGTCATATTTGAAATATTAATATTTATTTTGCTACAGCTTAATGTTAAAGAATAAAAGATATACCATTCAATTGCAATCAAAAGTATATAATTATATTAATTCTGCTCCCTATTATTCTTCTGCTTCACAGTATAATTTAGCATGTATAATTTTTGAAAATGAGACTATTTTGTGTCCATATTTATTAAAAGCAATGTTGAAAAAATTTAAGGCTGTTAAGGTCAGTGGAGGCCATTTTGGTATTTGTAATGGGTCCAGTTGTGCAAAGGAGGTGTGATCAGATGGACGAAGAAAGACTTGGGGGAGGAAGAGCTCAAAGGTTTAGAACTGGGTATATTTACATTGGTAGTGCCTCTCATTGTTTATCAGGGGAAAATATGATGCAATGAAAAGTAAACAAACTTTGGTAGTTAATGTAGGAATCAATATGTTATTGTTTCTATAAAAACCATCCTTCTGAGATACAAAATAAAGGACAAAAATAGACTTAAGAAAATAAATTTTGGCATGTAACCTATTTTGAAGTTTGATATTGCAAAAATTTCTTACCTGCATGCACCTTCACCACTCTCTTTAACAATCTGTGCAGCTTTAGAGAAAGCTGTTTTCTATTCCTGTGAATCCTTCATTCTTACCTTGTCTCAAAAGCCTGGTACCTTCTCCCTGCTCCTTTTCATCAAGAGAAATAATTTTATGTGTGGCCCCTAGTTTTCTGGCTTATTTTGAAGTTTTTCTAGCTCTCTTTTCACTTTCTTTCATAGTACTTTTTCCCAGTATGTCTTAATTTTTTAAAAACTGGAAGAAAAGTTGAGATTCTAATAGTTTCTGGCTTATTTTGAAGTTTTTCTAGCTCTCTTTTCACTTTCTTTCATAGTACTTTTTCCAAGTATGTCTTAATTTTTAAAAAATTGGAAGAAAAGTTGAGATTCTAATAGTGGTTATTTTATTTAATGCTTATGTCTTTATCTTTTGACTCTTTCTTGGAGGAACTCATTCTATCTTCCCCATATCCCCGTCTCCTCCATGCTTGAAATATGACATGCTTGAAATATGACATGCTTGAAATATGACATGCTTGAAATATGACATGCTTGAAATATGACATGTATGTATACACACATAGTCTTCCTCTCTTTCTCCTTTTATCTGCCTGCCTATCTATCTCTCTGTCATCTATAAAAGTCTCGTTAGTCATTATCTTCAGAAACTATTTGGGAGCAAAACTATTGTCTCTTTGATGAACGTCACAAAGTCCCTTGGAACTGAAAACTAAACTACATATTTAACTGGGCTCTTCAGCCAAGCCGGGACACCCTCTCGGTTTAGGTTCATTTAATTGTTCCAATATTTGGTGTCTATTAGCTAGCTGGGCTCTAGAAAGGGTAGTGTTTTCAAAAGTTCTAAATTATTCCTTTTGTTGTTGAGTCTTTCTATATTAGTGAGGATTAAGATCAGCTATAAGTGACAGACAGCCACCAATGACAATGGCTTAACCATCAGAAGTTTGTCTCTCATTTGTAAGTCTGGAGATAGCAGTCAAGGGTTAGTGGGGAGTGGCAGTGATAGAGGCTCAAGCTGCTTCTATCTGATGCTCCGCCATTCGTGACCTTCATTACTAAGGTCACTTCATGGTTCTGGATGGCCATTCCAACTTAGCTATGCCCATATTCTGGCCAGAAGAAAGGAGGAAAAAGGGGAGGTTAACAACACCCCTTCCTTCTTTCTTAAAAGGGAGGATAAAGGCATGCTGTCATTCTTAAAGAGGGTGAATAAAGGCTCTGCTCCCCTTTTAAGGAGCATGTCCTAGAATTTGCACTAACATATCGTCTTCTTGGGGAAACTTATCACATGGTCATACCCAGCTGCATGGAAAGCAAGGAGAAGTAATCTTTATTCTGTGCCCAGTCCAAAATTGGAAGCTCTGTTGCTGTTGAAGGGAAGAATAAATATTGAAGGACAATTCTTACATTCATTCCATCATTTACTTTCTTCCTCGTTAAATGTCCAAATTGGTGATGCTTGTTAGGCAAATCCTAACTTGGCTACCTATTGATATTTATTTTCAACATCTAAATTGCTTCTCAAAACTGAGGATGCATAACAATTTTAATTGTGTAATAAAGAATAGTCTTGTTTTTATGTCTTCAAAGCCATTTTATTTCTTCTAGCTTTAGGAAAGCATCCAGAGGGCAAATGGCCCAGACTGTAATTCATAGCAATAATTCTCAATGCGTGGTCTGAACCAGCAGCATCAGCATCACCTGAGAGCTTGTTAGAAATGCTAATTATCAGACCCCACCCTAAACCTCCCTAATCAGAAACTCTGGGAATGGGGCCCAACAACCGGTTTTTTAACAGGTCTTGCAGGTGATTCTGCTGTATGCTCAAGTTTGAGAACCAGTGTTGCATAGAAATCATGAGGGCACTGTCTTGATGCAGCAAGACTTTAGGAAGTACAGCATATCATTTGGCTTTCTTATGGCTTTCTTGACAACAGATGTTTCTGAGCATATATATTATCCTAAGAAGGAAGGAGGTCTTTCTCATAAACTTCAAACAAACAGGCCAAAAATACCCCAAGGCCAAACAAACAAAAACAAGTATATCTAGTAATATGCTGACTTTTAATCTATTTTAAAAATTTAAAACTTTATCTGAGAATAATTTACAATTTACAGACAACGTACAAGAATGAGAATAGAACAAAGAACATCCCTATACCTTTTACCCAGATGCATGTGTTGTTAACATTTTATCCCATTTGTTTTATCATTTGTTGGCACATTCTTTCCCAGACAACGTACAAGAATGAGAATAGAACAAAGAACATCCCTATACCTTTTACCCAGATGCACGTGTTGTTAACATTTTATCCCATTTGTTTTATCATTTGTTGGCACATTCTTTCCCTCTTTTTTTTCTGAACCATTTGAAGATAAGTTGCATACATCATAGCCTGTTTACCCCTAAATACCTCAGTGTGTATTTCCTAAGAAAAGAAATGTTTTGTTAGCAAATTTTAGTGTAGTTATTGAGTGCATTTAACATCAATATAGTACTGTTATGTAATCTGGGTTCTGTAGTTCAGTTTTCTCAACAGACCTAAACTGCCCTTTATAAAAGCATTTTTTCTCCTTTTGTATAGGATTCAGTTTAAGATTATGTAACACATTTAGTTGTCATGTTTCTTTAGTTTCCTTTAATCTGGAACATTTTTATAACCATTTTTAAAAATGAGAATATTCTTCACTTTAGATTCATTGGCTCTTTCCTCATGATTAGATTCAGGTTATAAATTTTTGGTTTGTAATACAAACCAATAATTACTATAATTATAATTCTTGGTTTGTAAATACTTGGTTTGTAATTCCTGGAGTAATACATCGGTACAATGTTACATATGGAGGCACAGGTGTATCCAATAATTCTGAAAAGAGAAAAGATACTAGGCAGAATTTATAACTTAAAACATATGTGCACTGTCGAGCTCTTTTACCTGCCCATAATCCTGCTGACTGGGCCAATTGTCGAGCTAGGACTGGGTCTGGAGCTCACAGACCCCTCAAGCCCTAGGGTTACAGGCTGGGTCACAAACCCTTCACATGCCAGGCTGGGTCCCCAGACCCCTCGCATGCCAGGCTGGGTCACCAGACCCCTCACACACAGGTCTAAGAGCTAGATAACTGGCAAACAGGGTCCTTGGAAGCTGTAGGTTCAAGAGCATGGCTGTGCACAGCAGAGGCCCAAGGCAGACACCAGCCAAGCTGCGGTGCCGTGCAAGTGCACTAACTCCATTCCCACCCCCCACAATTTGCTTACAAAGAATGCGCCACACCACCCCCAACTGGATGGGCAGGTGAGGGGGCCTGATTAATTTATTCTATGTTCCCAACAATCTAACCATTCAGGGTCCTTCGCTGTACCATCTACATGTTCAGAATCTTCCACAATGTTCCCTTAGCAAGGAAAAATGACCCTTACATTTAAATAACCTATTGTCCTTTTAATATGTCTTAAGGCTTGTAGTTCTGTCCTTTTAACTATTAGTCACATATGTCCGATTGGTAGTCACCATTGGTGTGATCCTCCATGCCAATCCTGCAGTCATACTGATGGGAAGTTCAATGCATATTCAGTAGGCCGACACATTGATCACGTGACCCTGGTGCAGTGCCTGCAGCCAGAACACTATGGGTGAAAAGATAGAAGGGTTATTGGTACCCATAGATTATCTGAATAGCTTCTGGAATGACCCTCGCCTTACCTGACCAGACCACTCCTAGGAATTTGACTGATAACCCAGTTCCTTGCACTTTGGCTGTGCTCACAGCCCACCCACATTTTTCCAAATGACTTAACAGCATTGGAGCTGCCTGGGTTAAATTTGCAAGAGAATCAGAGGTTAGTAACACATCATCAGTGTAGTAAAACATTATAACCATGCTGGGCCTAGTCCACTTGGCTAGGTCCCCAGCCACCAAACCATGGCAGATGTCTGGGCTATGCAGATAACCTTGGGGCAATACTTGAAAGGTCCACTGTCTTCCTTCCCACATGCAGGTGAACTGATCTTGGCTATCAGCTGAGATTGGAATAGAGAAAACAGCATTTGCAAAGTCCAATACATAATGATAAGTCCCCAGCTGAGTTGTCAGCTGATCCATCAAGTTGTGAGCTGAAAGCACAGCTGCATGCAAAGGAGGCACTACTTTGTTCAGTTCTTGATAATCTACAGTCATTCTCCAGGTACCATCAGACATTTTCACTGGCCATACTGCAGCATTAAATGGGCTCTGAGCTGCTATGCAGATAACCTTGGGGCAATACTTGAAAGGTCCACTGTCTTCCTTCCCACATGCAGGCGAACTGATCTTGGCTATCAGCTGAGATTGGAATAGAGAAAACAGCATTTGCAAGGTCCAATACATAATGATAAGTCCCCAGCTGAGTTGTCAGCTGATCCATCAAGTTGTGAGCTGAAAACACAGCTGCATGCAAAGGAGGCACTACTTTGTTCAGTTCTCGATAATCTACAGTCATTCTCCAGGTACCATCAGACATTTTCACTGGCCATACTGCAGCATTAAATGGGCTCTGAGCTGAACGAATAATGCCAACTTTCTCTAATTCCAATATAGTGGCACTTATCTCTGCATGTCCTCCTGGTAGGCAATACTGCTTTATATTAACTACATATCTTTGCTTGGGTAATGCCTGTGGGTCATGTTTAGCATATCCTTGTGACACAGGCTTTACTGTTCGTATTCGCAGCCAAAACTCTCCAACTGTTCTTTGCAGGTGCAAACCATAAATACATCCATACCCAAGATGTATTCAGCTACGGGAGATATATATACAGTATGTACACGAGGAGGTAATCTTCCTGTGCCCAATGGCAATGACACAGCTTTGACTTCAGTAGTGTGTCCACCATAGCCATCTATATGAACAGTGGCCCCTGGAAACTTATCTGGATTGCCATATGTCAGGCTACATTCTGCGCCTGTGCCCACCGATGCCAAAACACACTGCACATTTGTCCTCAACCAATATATTGCCAATTCAACATGAGGCCTCTGGTCCTCACCTGCATCAAAAGATGAGTACCTTTGCCTGCTACCTAACCAGAATGGAACAGTTCATCCGCATCCTCAGGAGCAACCAAAAAGTCCTTTAACTCCACTGAGCATACCTTGCTACCTGTTTCTGGATGTTTGGTGAAACGCTGTTCAGGGTGCAATTGTTGCCACAAGGCAAACAGGACTGCATTTGGCTACTAG